TAAACGCTTCCGATTAATTAGCTCCATAACGAGTAATTTCATTGGATAATATTTATATATCTACACAAACATACCCAATCAGCGATTCGGTATTATAATCGTTCACACGATCTAGTCTCGATTATCCACGCATTTTAAAGGCTAAGAAATTGAAGTAAATGTTCGGTCCTGGCTATCACTGAGAAATAGGTAACGGTTAAAACGTACGTTTGCCGCATTAAAAACTCGCAAAACGGTCAATACCTACGTATCTCGATAAAAAAATAAAATTCGGATTATAACTCCTCATTATGGCTTAAAATCTCTAGATAAGGTGTGTTAATTAACCAGGTTGAAAAATAGACTGAAAGGCGAGTTAATTATCGCTAGGTGTGAACAACTCTGGGACGGTGCGTTTTCTGTACTGAGTATGTTAATTAACTGACGGGTTAAAAACAAATGACACGGTGTGTATTGTTTAATTGGTGTGTTTTCTCGATAGTTGTTATAACTGCACCAAAAGGGTATAATCAAGGACCAACCGACTTTATCTGACGCGTGAGTGTTAAATGGAAACTTGGGAAGGAAAATTGTTTTTACCGTGCGATTTTTCATTCGCCGGTGTGTTTTTCGCAAATAGGACTTTGTATAAGGACAGGTCTTTATATGTGGAAGTTGTACGGGGCTGTTTCTTCTATGCGTCTTTTGTATTTGTTGATGAACATAAGACGCAGTACGTGTTTTATAGTCACGCCACTTATAAAGTTGCATAATAAAATATAAATGTAAAAATCGACGACGTCGGTTAATCAATCTGCTCTGGCCAAGCTCAAAATTCCGCTCTAAATTTCCTTCGCGAATTTGAGTAAACTGCCGACCTCCGTGATTATTTTAAACCGCCATCCACGGCGAATTTTAAAAAGTCTGACTTTCACGCATGTACAGTCAGCACATCCATAGCTGGTTTGAAATAGGTTTATGTATTTATCGTGCGATTCCACGGCAGTGATATCGTAGTCGAATATCAGCTAATACGGCATGCAAAAAAAGATTGTTAATTTAACACGGTTAGACACGCAGATTTTACTGGCTTATATTGAAAATATAACAAATATCAAACATTGGCAGGCATTTATATAATAAAATAAACAGAATTATGGTTGTACCGATACATTACTTATCAATATGTTCGACATTTTAATACTTGCATCGATCGACTATTTCAAACTCATTAAAATTACGAAATTTCAAAATTTACACACATAGATGCTGGTCTTACCGTGGGCGAAAGTTTTGTCCATTGAAATAGCCATTTCCATTCTGACAAATAAGTTACACAATGCATTTTAAATTGATAAATCACATCTGAAGTAATATATCTTCGGGTTTAAATCACAAATGAATTAAATGCCTTCATCTCCTGTTTTTAAGCACACATCGTCAGAAGTCACTGTCAACCTTGCTGAACACATGCACATTAACGCGTTATCAGTCGGATAATATCTTGATGACCTTTTCATTTTGCCACCAAAAAGTCTGAGTCAATGCATACTGTCAGTCAAGTTTCCAAATTACGTGAATTCACACGTGCTATCAATAGGAATCGATAATTGACTAAAATAGAAGCCCCTTTAACAACAAATTGCTACCATGCCGTAGTCTTGTAGACAATACTTATATTCTGTATTGTCAGTAAGTCAGGCCCGTAACTAAGGGGCAGGTGGGGCAAAGCCCCCCCCCCCCCCCCCCCCCGCAAACAATAGACAAAATCAGCTAACGTCAGCGAGAATGTCACGTGATCTGAATTGGGTACAACACTACAACTCTCGCGTCATAGCGTAGCGTGTGTAATGGTTGTAACAACATAAACAAACCGTTTATAGTTTTATAAAGCTAATCAAGTTTATTATATTAACATTACAGAACTCCCTAGTGTTTATCCCAAACATATACGACTTACTATTGTTTTAATATTATGTTATTATTATCGATTTGTCCACATTCTCGTGACTAACATTTAGGTACCGGACCGGTGTAGGCCTTCGTGCCGACACCCGCCATTGTTATTATTATAATTATGCCGCACTATTGTTGTGCAGGAAGGTGTAAAAACAATTCCGAAAAGCGTAAGGACTTATCATTTCATGGTCTCCCAATAAACAACAAACCTCTCTTAAAAGCATGGATCGTGAAAATGAAACGAGACCCTAGATTTTTTAATGTTAATTCTTCAACAAAAATATGTAGTGAACATTTTTTACCCGAGTCTTTCATTGAGCCTGATGCTAGTAAAAAAAGATTGAAATCCGATGCTATTCCACAAATTTTTGAATGGACAAAGGAAGTAAATCCAAGACACTCTAATGTTTTAACAAAATTGACCGCTAGACGAGTGGAAGAGGACGAAGCGACAGACACGGCATCGGAGGGAGAGGGAGACAGTGTCACTGGTCACCTCGTATCTCGAAAAACCCAAACTTAAATAGCTTCATTTACAATATTTCCGGCCTTATTTTATGCTAAATTGAGTCCCACGTCATAAAAGTCTTCAACTTTTAGAACCTTGCATAGCACACATTATGTCCAGAATTTGACGTTTTAACAGCTTAATTAATAAATTAATAATTTCTTATACACCTTTGATGTAATTAATAGTTCGTATGACAAATTACGTTTTTGAAATAGGATACGCAACACATCTATATTAATTTACAGGGTCATATATTGAATTTTAATAAACCAAGGTTCATTATTGGAGCAGAGCTAATATGCATAGAAGCGAATGCTTTGGCCCATATCAACTGCCAATTAAAAAATAAATAAAGCAGATAATTAATACGTTACAATTTAATTAAAACTGCATATCAATAATGTAATAATAAATAATGGTATTGCTTGTATTTTTGTCTTGTCTATTTTACTTGTGTGTTTGAACATTTCTCTGATTATAATATAATCGCTTGGGCTGGGGTTTTTTTTCATTTGAGATACTTACCGAAATTCCCTATGAGAAACAAAATAATTTGTATACATGTTGATAAAATATCAAGCTTTATTCAAATGAGATGATAGAGAAGTAAAACATACATTTATGTCATTGCAACAATACCAACACTGAATAGTCCACAGTATGTCATCCTTGAATTAAGTGTAACGGGCAAAAATAGTCACACTCCATCCAACTATTTCAGCAAATCCATTAACAGTGTCGCCTTTCGGTCTGAGATCAAAGAGGGGCTGAGATCAAAGGGCAATATCTCGTGTGAAAAGCGTGCTCTCCGGATAGTATAAATTCTATAATAAGGATGAGACTGAATCCACTGTACCTGTAAAGGGCGCGTCGAATTACCCAATAACACCCAATAACTGCCCAATAATACCCAATAACACCCAATAACTGCCCAACAACATCCAATAACACCCAATAACTGCCCAATAACTCCAAAATAACAACCAATAACTACAAAATGTTGACTTTGGAAACACAAAATAACAATTTAGTTGAATTTAAGAAGCATCGCTGCTTTGTGTCCAAATCGGAGTTTCACGCTCACTCGCCTGAAGGGAGATAACTCGTATATGTGATTTTTGTTGACAAGAAATTAATAACACCCAATAACTGCTCAATAACACCCAATAACTGCCCAATAACACCAAATTGTTGACTTTGGAAGTACAAAATAACAATTTAGTTGAATTTAAAAGCCTCGCAACGTTGAGCCCAAATCAGAGTTTTACGCTTACTCGCCTGAAGGGAGATAACTCGTGTATGTGATTTTTGTTTACAAGAAATTAATGTATGCTTTCGTTGCAATTCGTTTGAATTATACATGGGCGTCAAATATGGAATAACTATTTCAACCCCTCCATGGGTATCGTCAGGCGGTTGCAATAACAAAACGTTATTACAGATGTTCCCGCTATAGTTTTTCATGAAATTCAAATTAACTTCCAATAAAAACGTCAGAAATTGAGAAAAATCGGTAGGCCTCGGCGAGTGTCATTTGTGTTTACTTTTTAAACGCTTCCGATTAATTAGCTCCATAACGAGTAATTTCATTGGATAATATTTATATATCTACACAAACATACCCAATCAGCGATTCGGTATTATAATCGTTCACACGATCTAGTCTCGATTATCCACGCATTTTAAAGGCTAAGAAATTGAAGTAAATGTTCGGTCCTGGCTATCACTGAGAAATAGGTAACGGTTAAAACGTACGTTTGCCGCATTAAAAACTCGCAAAACGGTCAATACCTACGTATCTCGATAAAAAAATAAAATTCGGATTATAACTCCTCATTATGGCTTAAAATCTCTAGATAAGGTGTGTTAATTAACCAGGTTGAAAAATAGACTGAAAGGCGAGTTAATTATCGCTAGGTGTGAACAACTCTGGGACGGTGCGTTTTCTGTACTGAGTATGTTAATTAACTGACGGGTTAAAAACAAATGACACGGTGTGTATTGTTTAATTGGTGTGTTTTCTCGATAGTTGTTATAACTGCACCAAAAGGGTATAATCAAGGACCAACCGACTTTATCTGACGCGTGAGTGTTAAATGGAAACTTGGGAAGGAAAATTGTTTTTACCGTGCGATTTTTCATTCGCCGGTGTGTTTTTCGCAAATAGGACTTTGTATAAGGACAGGTCTTTATATGTGGAAGTTGTACGGGGCTGTTTCTTCTATGCGTCTTTTGTATTTGTTGATGAACATAAGACGCAGTACGTGTTTTATAGTCACGCCACTTATAAAGTTGCATAATAAAATATAAATGTAAAAATCGACGACGTCGGTTAATCAATCTGCTCTGGCCAAGCTCAAAATTCCGCTCTAAATTTCCTTCGCGAATTTGAGTAAACTGCCGACCTCCGTGATTATTTTAAACCGCCATCCACGGCGAATTTTAAAAAGTCTGACTTTCACGCATGTACAGTCAGCACATCCATAGCTGGTTTGAAATAGGTTTATGTATTTATCGTGCGATTCCACGGCAGTGATATCGTAGTCGAATATCAGCTAATACGGCATGCAAAAAAAGATTGTTAATTTAACACGGTTAGACACGCAGATTTTACTGGCTTATATTGAAAATATAACAAATATCAAACATTGGCAGGCATTTATATAATAAAATAAACAGAATTATGGTTGTACCGATACATTACTTATCAATATGTTCGACATTTTAATACTTGCATCGATCGACTATTTCAAACTCATTAAAATTACGAAATTTCAAAATTTACACACATAGATGCTGGTCTTACCGTGGGCGAAAGTTTTGTCCATTGAAATAGCCATTTCCATTCTGACAAATAAGTTACACAATGCATTTTAAATTGATAAATCACATCTGAAGTAATATATCTTCGGGTTTAAATCACAAATGAATTAAATGCCTTCATCTCCTGTTTTTAAGCACACATCGTCAGAAGTCACTGTCAACCTTGCTGAACACATGCACATTAACGCGTTATCAGTCGGATAATATCTTGATGACCTTTTCATTTTGCCACCAAAAAGTCTGAGTCAATGCATACTGTCAGTCAAGTTTCCAAATTACGTGAATTCACACGTGCTATCAATAGGAATCGATAATTGACTAAAATAGAAGCCCCTTTAACAACAAATTGCTACCATGCCGTAGTCTTGTAGACAATACTTATATTCTGTATTGTCAGTAAGTCAGGCCCGTAACTAAGGGGCAGGTGGGGCAAAGCCCCCCCCCCCCCCCCCCCCGCAAACAATAGACAAAATCAGCTAACGTCAGCGAGAATGTCACGTGATCTGAATTGGGTACAACACTACAACTCTCGCGTCATAGCGTAGCGTGTGTAATGGTTGTAACAACATAAACAAACCGTTTATAGTTTTATAAAGCTAATCAAGTTTATTATATTAACATTACAGAACTCCCTAGTGTTTATCCCAAACATATACGACTTACTATTGTTTTAATATTATGTTATTATTATCGATTTGTCCACATTCTCGTGACTAACATTTAGGTACCGGACCGGTGTAGGCCTTCGTGCCGACACCCGCCATTGTTATTATTATAATTATGCCGCACTATTGTTGTGCAGGAAGGTGTAAAAACAATTCCGAAAAGCGTAAGGACTTATCATTTCATGGTCTCCCAATAAACAACAAACCTCTCTTAAAAGCATGGATCGTGAAAATGAAACGAGACCCTAGATTTTTTAATGTTAATTCTTCAACAAAAATATGTAGTGAACATTTTTTACCCGAGTCTTTCATTGAGCCTGATGCTAGTAAAAAAAGATTGAAATCCGATGCTATTCCACAAATTTTTGAATGGACAAAGGAAGTAAATCCAAGACACTCTAATGTTTTAACAAAATTGACCGCTAGACGAGTGGAAGAGGACGAAGCGACAGACACGGCATCGGAGGGAGAGGGAGACAGTGTCACTGGTCACCTCGTATCTCGAAAAACCCAAACATTTGATGACGACTTCTGTGGTGACCTTGAGAGACGTTTTCAACAAATATCATGCACGCATAAATTTTCAGTTTCACATTTACTGTCTAAGTGTACAAGTGCTAAGAAAGAATTTAAATTGTTCACACACTTCACCGGATTTAATTCCCACGAGGAGTTTTATAATAGCTTAAAATTTGTTCTACCTGGAATTGACCGAAAACTTTTAACATATTGGAATACAAATGCAGCAAAATCAAGTCAGATTGATACCGAAAACTTGTTCGATAACAATGACACACAAGATATTTCTGTACATGAAAATGCTACCCAAACTGATCAAATCAAAACAAGACCGACATCCCATAAATTACTAATAGAAGACGAATATCTTCTACTGCTAATGAAACTGAGAATGGGGTTAACAAATATTGATCTCGGTAAGAGATTTTGTATATCTGATGGCACGGTAACTAATATTCTTTACACGTGGATAAATTACTTATACCTTACTTTGGGTAGTCTCAAAATTTGGCCAAATCGCACTATTATTTTAGAGAATTCTCCGAAAGACTTTCTTGATATTTATCCGAATAATTTAATAATTATTGATGCAACTGAGCTTAAAATTCAGGTTCCAAGTGCACTGCAGAAACACAGTGAAAGTTACAGTTATTATAAATCGCACACAACATTAAAGGGTCTTATAGGCGTAGATCCCAACGGAGGAATTATGTTTGTATCACAACTTTACGAAGGGTCAATAAGCGATAAACAGATAGTAACTAGGTCTGGTTTTTTTCAGGTTTTGAGGCAAAAGGTTGCACACGGGGAGATAAACGAGGGTGACGGGGTCATGGCCGACAAAGGTTTTGAAATTCACGAAGAATTGTGCAAGCTTAAACTACATTTGAATATTCCACCTTTTCTCAGAAATATGGTTGGATTTGAAGAAGATGATGTTATAAAAACCCAGACAATAGCTAAGCATCGTATACATGTCGAGCGAGCAATTTGTAAAATTCGTAGGTTCAGAATATTGAATTCGGTAATACCAGTTACAATGTTTGGTAGCATTAATCAAATATGGACAGTTGCTTGTCTTCTTTCGAATTTGCAAAATCCTGTTCTTCTATCGGATAATGATTGTTGAAATTTATGTTTTAAACAATCTGTGTATGTTTATAAGGCTTTTATTGTAACGATGTACATTAAGACAAGAAATGGTATATCGACACAAAATAACAAAAAAAACATTATTCTTTTCTCATAATTAGTTCTATATATATTAAGTGACAGTCAACTCAGTCTAGAAATATAGACGTTATTTGCGTGTGCTTTATTTATTCCTAGGCCTAAGGCCTAATTATTAAAATTGGGGCTGTATTTTCGGCCAAGGAAGTGACAGTTATTTTTTTTTCTTCACAATGCTAATCTGTATGTTACCCAATGTAACAGCTACACTGTGTAATATATATTGTTATTCGAAGTGGTAATTTTATCGTCCTAAATATTTAATTTCATAAATAAGAAATAAACTATATATGTCCATGTATAAGAAATCTCATTGCATAATGCAAGTAGAAATCAGAAAGTTTGGGGAAAAGTTCATTTGTCCAAAAAACATTGTCAAAATATATTCTGTCAACACACATTTCATTAGATTCGGAAAGGTATACGCAGAAATCGCACCATTTTAATCCCGTGAGCGCTAATTGTCCCTGAACTTGACAGAAGTATCCATTTGGATGTTTCCTTTTTAGTTTGTAACTATCTCCATTTTTCTCAAGATAAAATGTGGTGTCTGTTGCAGCTTGCTCGAGCGTTTCGTTTTTCTTTGAAAATGGACATTTTATCTCCAATAGCCCATACGCTTCATAAGCAGATGGGTCAAACACTTTTGCATCAGGGCTTGCACCCAGGTAGGGCATAGACGGGTGCACTAATAGTCCTGCGTCAAAAACTAAACATCCTGGTGTTTGATTTTGCATTTTTTTGGCATAAATTGTTCTTGCTATTTTTTTGTTTAATTTACCTTTAATGTTAGATAAATCTTTGGATAAAAATATTGAATTAAGCATGGCATCTGTAGGTATTTTAACCCGTGAATATATTTTATTAAAATTAGAAGCCGTTAATCTATATTTATGTTCATATAACCACTCAGTGCAATCATTTTGCAGAACTGTTCGTTTCTCTAAACTATGAGAATCGTGTATATCTATCAAAATGTGATCAAGGCAAAAGTTTCTTACGGACAAATCCGGCACATCTAAATGGAAAGCGTTTTCACTAGGATTAACTATTGGGATATCCGGAAAGTTAATGAACTTGGGCCTATTTTCAAATTTTTATTTTTCAAATACTCCACTTGAGAATCAACATGTTCCTTTTCTAAGCCGGATTTAATCGTGGGGCCTCTAGCATCAAAGAGCTTGCATCTAACAGGATCTCGTTTTCTTTCATTATTATAATCAGTTGCTGCACGTGCAAAATGCGTTCCCATGACAGGCAATGGGCATATATTTTTTGCCCGGGGAATGTGCCAAGTTTGTGGCCGGCTGGTGCAACACTCATCAATCGGTATGTCTTTTATTGCCAAACACGAAAAATCATTCAACTGAAATATTAGAGCGAATACGTGGTTACAGTGTCCTCCGATCCCCCCTTTACACGAACAGTGAGCTTTGTGCACAGAGGCGTGTTTTTCAACTTCGCCTGTTGCTTCGAGTACTAGATATATATAATGTGGTTCTTCGTTTTTTTTCAGTGATCGATAACATCTAGCTTTAATATAGTGAAATATATCCCCAACAGGGTCAGACCGATATTGTGCTGTGTATATCTCATGGACGTAGGCTTCACGAAAGAATTTGTAACTTTTTTCACCAACATTCTTTTTACCTCCTTGTTTTAACCATTCGGCCCATGTGACTGGATTTATTTTGGGGAAACTACGAAGGGATTTGGTCCAGTGTTTTATCAGCTTTGTAACACACGCGCAACAACCAGCGTGGTTAGAACAACATACACAATGCAGTGTAGTAGAAGCCATGCAATAATAATGCCGTCAATTCAGTGTACCGCTATAGCCTATTCGCTGCTGAGTGCTGGTAGTGATAGCTAATTATAGTCTATTATCAATCGAAGATTCGATTACAACTGCACTTATAAATCAGTTATTAGTTACTGGTATATATATTATACGAAAAGTTATTCACTGGCTCTTACAAAAATCTTAGAAACATTTTTTCCGCGCTTTATTACTATAAATTGTAACGTAGCCTCGTTTTGAGACAAATGTAAACACCCATTTCAAGTCACGTGACACGTTAAATGATTTTGTCTATAGATATACATTGTCCGTCAATTTTACAGCACCCCTTGAGAACACTCCCCACCCCATCGTTTCTATGAGCTAGTTACGTCCTTGTAGTAAGAAATCATTGGGACGCGACCAATCTGGATTTTCACACAGAATATGTGCCGTTGTCATGGCTAAATTACGAACGGGCTACGATGAATAGCACACCCCATCTCCTGCAATTTACATCATGTATTACCAGTAGGTTACAACGGATTCTATTAATTTTATTTACGATAAAACTCAGGCTTTAAAAATTGTGGATATGAGAGATAATTAAATTTTTGAATCGGTATAGACTTGAAGGTTGGCGCATGCAGGGTGTGAAAAGAATACTTAATCATCATATTCGCAGTTGACATACTGTCAATAAAATCATTCCTTAACCGGTGGTGATAATTTTTGTAATTTGGCATAAAAATCATCCCTTATATCGCACCATGCCCCTTTAACTAATACACGCTTTTTTGTTAGGCAATTTATTTTGTACTCTTTTGATGTGGACTCTTTGATGTAATTGTCGCATCAGTTACTATTAATCTAAGTTCTGTCCTGACAAGATTCCATTCATAAGATCTGGTTGTTAGGTGTTTTATTGAAAGCTTCTTCGATATGTTAACTGGAAAAATGAAATTTAATGATCTGTTTTTGTGATAATTATTGGAAAGAAACTGAACCGGGTTATTCTTTGGGATATTTATCGTCTATTGTATAAATACGGTAAGCAGTTTGTGTCTTGCATTTATAAGTTAAATTATAAAAAAATATATATTTAAAGGGACGAAGGGGCTATTTAAGACATGATATTTTAAAACCTTATACCAGTAACTGAATCGATTTGACATGTTGATCTGTTTTGCAATGTGGGGAATGGGGAATCTGTTGGATCAGCTAGCAATTTTCCAATAGAAGTTCTCTGAAAATGAAATTAATATTGATTTTCAAAAATATGTTGGTTTCTCTTTTATAACTTTAAAACTCCATGTTAATATATTATGGTAAAATCATATGTTGGCTAATCTTATAATCGGCTAATAATCTCGGGTAATAAGCATATCAGTGTTAAACTTTATAAACAGACCAATACACAATCAGATGAGTCAACATTTGGTAGAGTTTATAACACTGACGTGTTAATTAACCAATTAAGATTATGAGCCGACAAGATTAGTCTCTCAGCTATTAATTAGCTTTCATGATCAATAATGGTATTATTGAAAATATCAAAAATGTGAATAAATTTATGACGATTATTGTCTTATTTTGATTTGGTTATTTGTGATTATTTGTAATAAAGAAAATAACTCTTATTGCAGTAGTCTGTACTGACATGCCATGATATATACTTGGAATCAATTAATCATTTGACTTGTTTGAATTATTATTATTTCAGAAAATTTATTATTGTGCGCATTATGTGGGTCCTGACTATTTCTAAGGACATTTCATTATCCGGCGAACTGTTAAACCGGATGGCAAAATAAACACCATTATGCAATACATCTTTTAATAATCCCTCTGTCTCTTTCGGCTACGATGAGTTCCTCGACAGTTCGACGATTATATTCTTCACTTCCATCACAACGCGTACACCAACACTGATATCGAACCGACATCGTACAGAAAATTAGTTTAATTATAGAAGAGTGTGTCTCAAATAACTTAATGTAGAGTCTGCTTCCACAATGAAGTGATTTGACGAAATTACATGGGATTTATATAATATATGAAATTTCATGTCCTCCCACCAATACTCAACTATGTACTTTAATCTGACCGCTATGGAAACCATCTATATGTGACGATTGTTAAATAAGTTTTGCTAGGTCTAATTAATTATTAATGAAACACTGTTCAAACCCTCACGGTATAGGAAACCATCTATGTGATGATTGTTAAATACGCTGGCTATATAACAATTATTATTGAACAGCTAACATTTTTTTGTTTATAATATAAATATAATTGCAAAATGGTTATCTATTAAAAGTTGCAACGAAACAAGTACGGGTTACGTACATTGTACTAATTTCAACACGCAAAACAATAAACTGGCTATGAGCTATGGGTTGCGCGGTACTCATTTCAACACGCAAAACAATAAACCGGCAATGAGTTACCGTTTACGTGGTACTAATTTCAACCCGCAAAACAATAAATTGTCAGAACAAAAAAATATATATATATATAATAATATAGCGATGGTTGATGCTTGTAGTTTGGCAAGGTACTAAGTTCTAGTCAGTTTATTATGTTTGTTTAAAATTAAAGTGTTTTTTTTATTCTAGTCAAAATAAAAAAGAAACAAAATAATAGCAATACAGTGTTTTATTCTTGAAATAAACAACATTACATGCGTCATCATCTGTCCTTAATTCCAGGAGAGCGATTTTCAGTTTTTTCCAATCCCAGGAGAGCTTTTTTTAGCTCTCCATGATTTTTTAGACGTGAAGGCCTGTAACGATATTGCGTGTGACCGATTTTAAGACACACACATTTATAGTTCAGTGGTACCACAATAATGTTAACAAATGAAACCCACAAAGAGACAAGAAATGTAAATAACTGCAGCCAGGCAATGGTACGCAGTATAAAAGACGTATTAATCAACAAATGAAATAAGCATAGATTAAAGAAGGCACAGATGTATCTATACACCAAGTATAAATCCATGTATAAAGACCTACCCATAACAAAGACCGATCTGCGTAAAACACACGGTCGAACAAGAAATCGCACGGTAAATTGGATTTAACACCTACGCGTCAGATAAAGCCTGTTAGTCCTTGATAAAACACCTTTGGTGCAGTTATTACACGCTTTCGAGAAAACTCACCAAACAAAGAATACACACCGTGTCAGTCGTTTTTAACCCATTCATTAATTAACACATCCAGTACAGAAAACGCACCGTCGCAGAGATTTTCACCCCTAGCGATAATTAAATCACCTTTCAGTCAATTTCTCACCCCTTTTAATTTTATCGATATTCATACAAATTTACCAAATCGGGTGATATTTATGCCCTAAAGGTACAAATAACACTATTACTACTTCTCAGTGTTAATTTGTCTTTTTTGGAGTAATTAATATTTTATTTCAATTGCATGAAACTGATCAGGGAACAGACTGTATCACACTAGATAAGAAACCTTATCTCTCAACCTTCCGTCAGTAGAATCTGTTATTCGTCTGGTGACTTGTCATTCACTTTGTCATTCGTCTGGTGAATCTGTGCCATTCACCTGGAGATTTGTCATTCACTTTGTCATTCGTCTTCTGAACATCTGTCATTCACTAGATCTTTGTTACTGATCACTTTGTCATTCCTCCAGTCGGTGGATATGTCATTCAGTTTGTCATTCGTCCGGGGAACAAATCTATCAACCTTCCGTCAGTAGAATCTGTCATTCGTCTGGTGACTTGTCATTCACTTTGTCTTTCGTCTGGTGAATCTGTGCCATTCACCTGGTGATTTGTCATTCACTTTGTCATTCGTTGTCTGAACATCTGGCATTCTTTAGATCTTTGTTACTGATCACTTTGTCATTCCTCCGGTCGGTGGATATGTCATTCAGTTTGTCATTCGTCCGGTGAATCTGTGTCATTCTCTGCCATTCGCCTGGTGATTTCTGTCATTCACTTTGTCATTCGTCTGGCGAAGTTCTGTCATCCACTTTGTCAGTCGTCTGGTGAACCTCCGTATAGGGGGCAGGTTGGGGGTGGGGAATTTGACCAAAAATTTTCTTTGTCTTCCGAATTTTTAGAATGAATCAATCTGAAACTAAAACGAGTTTTGCACAAAGCTCCACTTACGTATTGTAGTATTCCAAAAGTAAACCCCGAGCGATTTCATTTGTCAATTATATGATATGTATTCTCTAATGTTTGTGCCTGAACGGAAATACATTGCCCAAAAATGAACGGTTCACCAGACCAATGACAAAGGTTCACCACACCAATGACAAACAGAATGACAGAGGTTAACCACACGAATGACAAAGTGAATGATAGAGATTCACAAGAAGAATGACAAAATGAATGATAGAGATTCACAAGAAGAATGGCACAGGTTTACGGGAGGAATGAAAGAAAATGAAGATGAAGATGAAGAGAATGACAGAGCTTCGTCATACGAATGACAGAGGTACACCAGACGAATGACTGACATATGAAAACGTGAATAATAGAAATCACCAGACGAATGACAGGGAATTAGCCTACATCGGACTATTTACAGAGTGAATGATAATTCGCTAGACGGACGAATGACAAGGTGGATAAAATAGGTTTACAGGACCAATGACAATGTGGATAAGTGGATGTCAGATTCACCAGGCGAATGACAAAGTGGATGGCAAGAAATTCGTCAGCTGAATGCCAAAGGTATACCAGAAGTATGACAAAGTATGTCATTGCTGTGATGA